GTAATCATCAAAATTAAATGAAATAAACATTTGAAATATATGAGTTTGTATGTAATGTATGAATATAATATACAAGTTTCACTTTTTAAATGGAATTACTGAAATAAATCTACTTTTTCATGATATTCTAATTTTATGACCAGCACCTGTATGACGGTCAATTAAACTATAAAACATGAGGTCAAGTTCTCCTGTTTTAAATTAATTGGTGCATTTTAAACGTATTTATTTTTTAGGTCAATTATATATTTCTGTTTTTATTTTTAATTATGTCAGTTTCAGTCCTCCATATAAAATGAGTGTTGTTGTTTAGACTAATGTTGGTAAAAGACCTCTTCACTGCAGAGGAAGGATTATCTATAAGTATTTTCTACAGTAGTGACCACCATGATCTGGACTGACTCCAAAATAAGTTTCATTAAACTTTGTCTAGTGATGTAAAATATATTTTGCTAACAGGGTTGACAAAAATATCTATTGGTAAATAGTTCAACATTTTGCCCTGTTTGAGCTTAGAGTACTGTATGTGTTGGGTTCACCCTTAGCAAAAAGTAGTACATGCAAGTATTCTTTAAGTATACTAATTTTAAACTAAAAAAAATAAAAGAGTATACTTCCAGTTTACTTTTTATGTACTTATCTGAGATATACTTAACCAAGTTTATCTTGGCTTGTACTGAAACTATACAAAAAGTTAAAGTATACTTAGTCTATAATGTTTAAACTTCTGGCCAAGATAAACTTTAGTAGTACGCTGAAAGTACATTTTCACACAGACTGGTTTATTTGCAGTATATTTCAAGATTAAACTAAAAGTATACTAAGAAGATTACTTTCAGAATACTTCTGAGTATACTTTCATAAACTTACTGCGGGCCAGTTTAGGCCTAGAAGTACACTGATAATATATCAGTGTGCATGGTAAATAAAAGTATATTTAGGCAAATACACTTTTGTATACTTTAATATTTTAATGACATGTACTTTAAAGTATACTTCTTTTTGGTAAGTTTATAAACTTAAAAACACATTATAACAGTATACTTAAAGTCTACTTTTTATAAACTAAAAAGTCCCAGTTTTGTACGAACAAGTATTACAGTATTTATTCATGTATAATACAGTTTCGAGTATAATACGATCATAATTTTTTGAGCTTAAAAAGCATTAAAAAGCTAATTATCAATAACCTGTATATAATACTACCCCCCCCCACATACACACTTTATGGATGATTTTTAGGGTTAAATTTCTAGTACCATACATGAATAAATACAGTACTTGTATGTCAAAATTATACTGTTTTAAATTCA